TGGACTTTTTGTCATCACCATCACCTATCACTTTTCTGCGCTGGCTATGGTGGTGGCCACTGAGCTGCACTGTGGTGTAAACTCACAAAGACAACACTAGCCCACACTTCCTCTGAGGCAACTCAGTTTCTTTGCCTTTTTTCATGCCTCAGTTTCCCTGACTGTAGAATAAGAAGAATGGCTCTCCCATGTGAGGGACTTTTTATGGGCTTTATAAAGTGAGTTAACATATATAAATTACATATAATGTTCAGCTCATAACCTCAATTTAATGACAGTCAGCTGTTTTCAATAATTTTATTTTTAGTTAGTCCCTCAGTAAGATTCTAAGCTTAAAAGGGATGAATGTTGTCTTTGCTTTCTCAGCATCTATTGTAAAGAAGACATTAATGTTCTGTGAATGCGAAAATGAACTAAAAGCACATATGCGTGCTTTTCTATTAACTAGTGTTTCCTGCTCCCCAGTATTCTCTGACAAGGCTCACATAGGAACAAGCTAGTAGTGTATAGAGCAGGCATTTTAAATACTTATAGTGAAGGAATATATATTATGTGAGATTACATTATTCATTTCCAAAACAATGTTTTTGAACACAAAGGAATCTACGTTTTTTAGAATTTAATTGTTTGCAGAATTTGTAGCACACTATTCTTTCTTGGTGTGAGGTGTTTTTTATGAAACTATATATTACTAGTTGCAATTTCAACAGAATTAATAATGGTCACATTGCTGGATAAACTGAAATTTCTCTTTCACACATCTTTTATGATGTAACAAAATTACATCATGTGTCCAATAGAACAAAAAGCAAGCTCTTGGCCATTTGTGTTACATATCTCTGGAAAAAAGCAGCTACAACAGCATGAGATTTCATTTTACAGCATCATCTTCTGGTAAATACACAAGATATTAATAATTCTCTATTTCTAGATGAATATGTTTTTATTTAATAAGTGTGCAATCATTTTGAGACTAGCAGCATTGTTTGGCAATCAACAATTGTCTGGATGTCTTTATTAGAATTAGATTTGACTAAGAATAATAGAAACCCAAAGTAACAGTGGCATAAATAAATTAAAAGTGTATTTCACATAAACAAGGCAGTGTGGACTGGACTGGCAGTGCAATCTTCAGAG